TGAAATGCGCAAGTCTGCCCGGATGGGTCTTGCTACAGATCAGATGAAAGACTGAACTCTGGTTTTCGGTCGGGCGGCCTTTTATATGCTGTTTATCGGCGATGTCTTTCGGCGGTCCCGTGTTCTGTGACTGACTCCCAAAAAATATATGTTTCCATCACAGAACACGTCATCGGTAAAACCCACAAGTCACAGGTAAACCCGTGCTTGTGTTTTGTGACTGCCAGCGACGCGACGGTCAGTCACAGAACACAAGCACGGGTTTACCTGTGACTTGTGGGTTTTACCGATGACGTGTTCTGTGATGGAAACATATATTTTTTGGGAGTCAGTCACAGAACACGGGACCGCCGAAAGACATCGCCGATAAACAGCATATAAAAGGCCGCCCGACCGACCACAGGTACCAGTCTTTCATCTGATCTGTAGCAAGACCCATCCGGGCAGACTTGCGCATTTCAGCTGAAGACATTCCCTCCCAAACCTACGCATACGTTTACATTATTTTTTGAATAAATAAGTTACAAGTATTAAAATTATTTTATCGTCATGTCTCTTATTCAGAGACGTCTCGTGTTGAATGATGACGTTTCGTTTGACTGCTATATTTTTGTTGTACGCAAACCTGACGGTTCTGAAGAGAATTGGTTCAGAGGACGTGAATTCGCCAACTTTCTTGGATATAAAAGCACTGGAAGCGCTGTTACTCGTAATGTAGACCCCGAATACCGTTGCTCGTGGAGTAGTTTAATTCGAGCGAATGACGACGTCCCCGTTCCCAATAATTTGCAACCAAGCAATGTTTTCATATCGGGACTTGGATTGTACACCTGGGTCATGCGTAGTACAAAACCAGAAGCCGTACAGTTCAAGCGATGGTTATTAGGTGCTGATGTGCGACCGTCACTCGTTGGACAACTGTTTTATGAATATGTTATGGACCACAGAGATGCCGAAAGCCTATCAGAAATAACATCGGATAGTTTGCGGGGACATGTGTATCTGGCGACGACGGGGCGGTATCAAGCGGTCAATATGTACAAAATAGGTTTTACCGCGAACCCCGAACAAAGACTTTCCCGACTCAACGCGGTCCGCAATAGTGACGATAAGTTCTGGTACGTGTGCACTTGGCCGACAAATGATTGTCGGGCTGCGGAACAACGCGTTTTCGATCGATTGACGGAATACAGAATAGAGAGGGAGTTTTTCCGGTTCACGGACGATGAGAATGCCGTGGATCTCATAAGACACGTCATCATGCCAACTGAATGAAACTAACATGTGTATTTTTTTTTTTGTTTAACACCTATAGTTGATATATCATATTGATAGTTGAAAATTGTAATATAAATTATTATTCATGACGTCAATGCTGTATACACAATATTATGTGTCACATGAGTATGAGTTTGACGACGATCAGGCAAACGCTGACCCGCCGGCCGTCCGCCCGCCGTTTCTCGGTCGCGATCTCGCGGACGCCGATAGAGACGCCGCGGACGTTGCGATAACGAACGACACACTTTGATATTTTCACCAAACCGTAAACTTAGGCCGGAGCTATACACGGCTTATTCCGCTGCCTTTCCGACCGGTATAGCCCATCATAATTTAAAACAATGTAAAATTTTTAGTATGCGTTAGATTTGAATTTAATTTTATTTTTGCGGATTTTTCCTGACCTGCACTTAACACATCTAAAAAAAATTACGATTACGCTGTGATTGTACGTTATCTTCGATTGTTGTCCTGACCTTGACATTCGAGTCCGAGTGCGATTACACGGTACCTACTAAAAATATTTGTTACTAAGCGCATTGGAATGCCTTTGGTATTTTGTCTCGAGAAAATATGTAATCATTACAGTGTCCAATGTTTTTTTTCGATATTGTCATATTGTAACACACGTGCGATTTCAGATTTTTGTATGGATCTATTATGTCAAAACCTTAATAGGTACATCATTAAAGAATATTTGACAGTGAAATTGTACTCTTTGTATTAAACAGAATTTTTTCAAGTAACCATCATAGTGAAGAAAAAAATAATTATGGAAAATTTAATTTGCCTATAAATAGTTCAACACATATCAAAATATTTTGAAAATATTATGGAGTATAGAAAATACTTACATACATATTCAGTGAAAATGTCATGTATCTACGGTCATTGCACCAACTAGATTCACTTTCCTATCAGAAACGCTACTATTTAAGAATATCGAAATATTTTTTCTGCAAGAAACCGTGATAACAAACAAAAAAAACCACATCATTGTAAAATCAATATATTCGCAATATACAGTATATCCGCTCAGAATCTAAAATATCATACGTTTTCTAATTGTTGAACTATTGCTTGTTATTGTTCTAAATTAAATGATAATATTACAAATATTACTAAAAGTGTGAATAGAACGAAAAAATACTATACGATTTTAGAGTCTTCGATAATTCGATATAATATATTGTACCCTGACCTAACCTGACATGATCATTATTATCAATCACAGACGAGCCGCAGGTGACGAGATCATCTAAACTTATACATATTGAACTTGCTACAAATTATTGTGATACTTTGACAATTACAGGTTTAAATTTAATTAGAAAAAATATTCATGATGCCAAGTCTTCTTTACTGCCAAATGTAGGTTACCCCTGTGCCACCAATGAAGTCCATAATATTTTGAAAACAGTTAAAATCATCAAGACAGACAATAAGATAAACCATTTTTAATTTCAATAATATAGAATCATATATAATCGTAAAGATGCCGTCGAAAAAAATTAAAGCATTTTTACTGTTCCATAAAGTGATGACAGTCACAAATAGAAAAACATTTTTAAAAATTACACACATCATTGTAAAATCAATACTTTCATAGCTCCGCTCAGAATCTAAAACTTTTTTCACAAGAGAAATATTTTCATTTTGTTATCATTATTATTCCGAAACGGTGAAAAAAATAGAATATAAAAAACAGACTCGGCGGTATTGAGTACAGTAAACACACACTGTAGATAAAGAAATGTATATTAAATCCATATATTATATAAACTCTAATTTATCTACATTTAATTCATCTTCATTATTATCATTTTACACAGAACTGCTCTGCATCACGGAGATATTACAAAAAACTACATATTATAATTAACTGTTCTTTTGACTATTGGGGATGTTAAGAGCAAGGTATATACACATACATTTATATATATATATCTACCTTGGTTAAGAGAAAAAATTCATCTCCGCAAAAAAAATCAATTTTATGGAATCTGGTATAGCCTCTCATTTGTTAAAATGTATAGACGTTTTGAGTGTTTTGACTGTATACTCCATAAAAATGAACTGTCGGTGTTTCTTGTTTCGAACATCGATATACGTCTATTTAATTTATCACCAAGCACGCTGTTTACTCGTACGTCTGCAGTATTCACGTTGTAAACTGGTAATATTTTACCACACTGGTTGGTGTTCATGGAAATCGTACTACGGTTGCTAGCATAATGTATACAATACGTCAATACCGCACCAAATTTGGTTGCTGTTTAGTAATACCCACAGCACGGACATTTATCCAGTACACGTCGTAATGTACGAACGGATATAAAATCATTAGTTCGATTAACCGAAGAACATTAATTCAACGATGTTATGGTTATGCTTCGTTCCAGCCACAACAATTAATAACATCGTTAATCATAATTGATGTCTGTTTTTTAAATTAATCATTATCTTAGAAGTAATGTGTAGATCAACTTATATACATTTTTTTATTATAAGACACAATCAAATCGTAGTGGAATATAAATTTAATTTAATAGAAATGTGTAATTATAAAAAAAAAAAAAAAAATATGAAAATAAAATATAATATAAAAATAAAATATAATATAAAAATAAGATATAGCATAAAAAATATAATATAATATGTGAAATAAATTTACTACAAAATAAAGTATACTTAAGATAAATTATGATGAAAAATATTGTGCGACACATTTTAGAGTTGCGATTTACATTGGTTGTAAACATTGCAACCTTTAAATGTTTAGTATAATACCCACAATCGACTTTATTTTGAAAAGTTATAATTATAATCGGTGTTATTTGTAGCATCCGTATTTATAGTTTCCAATGTTTGTCTTACTTCTTTGTCTATACTACTGTGAATATTATTACAAATGAATGTCGTACATATAAGACAATTGTTTACATTTAACAAAAATAGGAGATTTTTGACATAAATCAAAAACAATAATATAACTGAAAACAAAAAGTCAATCAATTCGATATCGAAAACTCTATTGTTGACATCGACTAACCGGGTGAACTGTGTTTGCAGCGTGTTTAAGCAAAAACTGTATTTTAGCAGGAACAAAAAGAAAACAAACAAAAAATAAAGCAGTTGTAATAAATATTAAATACTAGGACATCAACAAAGTCACAGATAAAATAAATAGTGGTAAATAATGACGCAACAGAACAGTGAAGACTAATTTTTAACCATAAAGGAATAATTCTGTAATTATGATATATTTTAATCTGTATATCTGTGAGTTCGAAGTCTAAAAAAAGTGGGATGAGCAATTTTTAGTTTTACTGCGATGTTGCCACATTTATTGATAAGTAATGCGCAAACAAGTATTTTAACGTTTTTAATTTTATCAATTGCAAAATGCTTAGTTTGCTTTCCATATATTTATTGCTATTAATTAAATTATTATTATTTATTTTAATACTAGTAAAATAATTGTTAATATGATTAAAATTCTTTGTATATTATGCTGGCTAAATGCCATGATTCACTTTTTATACATCCAGTTGCTTCGCTGCACTTTCGATCAACGCGGTTTCGACACTCGATCGTTTTACACACGCTGAAGCGTTGTTATCGTTGCCACACGAATTTGCCGTTTCTTCCTCCTGTTCCCCGGTACCGTTTTGCCTTTTTAGATTTGTAAACTCAATAATATGTGTCTCGGTTTTTTGTTTTTTCATGTTATCGTTTATGGTCTTCAACCTTTCTTTCAACAACGTATATATGATGTCTTTCGTATTTCGATCTCGACGTGCCAATTGATATATGAACACGTCTTGTGCACATTTAACACTGTATTCGTTTTTAAAGTCTTTGTTCAATTGTACCCATTCTTCTTGCAAGCCTTGTTCTGTTTTTAAATGTAACGGGTTTATTTATTCTGATGTTTTTTGCATAAAACTTTCAAAGTCTTCGTCCCGTTCAAAGGTATTAGACACGGACTCCAGATTACATACAGTATTCAAGAATGTAAGATGTTTTGAGAAAATGGAATTTTCTCTGCTGTGCATGGATTCCGGAAAGTTGGGTTCACGTAAAAATTCATGAATCCATACACAGCTTTCCAGTGGGCTGAGTGTTGCTAAACTTGTTACAGTATTTTTAATTTTCAATAGAAACGATAATGTGGAATCATCGGTTTTGTTTATTTTTTGTTTTAGTATGGTTGTTGGTATCTTTTTCGTATGTACTAAATGTTTTAATTGTTCCCGTGCCGCTAAACGTTCATTGACCGTGTCTAGGGTCAGCGAATGTATAGACGTGTGCAAAACATCCTGAGTTTGAGGAGGTACATCGTAAAACGTATAGTTACCATTTATCATTTTTTCTTTTATTTTATCTAAAGTCAACGGTTTCAAATCAGTAACATCAAAATTCAGCACTGTAGACACGAGATATTGTATGGGTTGTGGTATGGCTACTCTGTTGATGTTCTCCGAGGACGTCACTCGAGAAATGGCTACGTATAAATCCCGGTACGTGGACTTGGTAAATATGAAAGAAACTCTGTACGGTATTGTCCGCCCCTGGCTCATGTATATCGACATACTGAAAGCCGGATACAGTGGAAAATTGAATAAATCACCACAAATCTCGAATCCGGTCTTCAACAAGTACATTGCATGTTTTTCAAACACCGCCTCAGTACATATACATCTTAGGATTCTTTTTAATTCTTTGGTCTTAGAAATCTCTACTATGACGCATTGGATTTGACCGTCTGTTGATAATTCAAGGGTTTTTAGAGTGCACAACGTACGTTCACTAAATTTATGTAAGAAATAAGCGTTTCCGATAATTAATGGTAAAAAAGTCAAGTATTTTCCGGGATACCATTTTTTATATTCTTCTGACACACCAGTATTGCCATTCGCAATAGCAGTTAAGGCTTTGTAATACTGCACCGTTGGGTATGGTAAACAATATTCTGAATTACGCATGTGCAATTAGTTTACACTGTTTTTGATAATATACCAATAGGACGTTGGTACAATTTTCTCCGTCACCAACAAATTCAGTTGTTCAGTGAGATCACTGGGATATTTCGCGATAATAGTGTCCGATAGTTCTAGAGATTTTATTATATTTTGGTAGAACATCGCACTCACAAGAGCGTAACCCCAAGCGTCGAGAACGTTGTCGTTAGAAAGTGTACCAATAAAATTTACTTTTTCGTTGTAAGACGTGTCTGAACACCGATCGTTCCGTGAAAGATTGAAAGTTATGGTGGAAAAAGCCGAGACGATATCGTACGCCGAACACTGTCCTGCATGCGTTGAATTATGTATGTTTTCTATTTGATTTTTGTTCCCACAGATCACAGCTCCGATACGGTATCTATACAAAGTAATCATTATTATCAATAGAAACGGTTTTGAGATGACAGTGTACTCGTCCAGTATGAGCAACGGATGTCTGAAATCGTCCTCGCCCGGGTCTACAATCAGACATCGTATTAAATTTACTATAGCGTTTAAGAAATGTTCGACACTCATGGGCATGCTCAATTCTTGTTCGAGCCTTTCATAATCCACCATACTTAATCGGAACACGCGCATTATGAACTGTGCGACAGTGTAACCGTTGGCCGAAAATCTATACATGTGCACAAGATCGCGTTTGTATATAACGACATTTGGAGGTATCGACGTATCGAACATATGATTGGCTAACGTCAGCATGGTGAACGTTTTTCCAGTGCCCGGATCGCCTTGTACAACTATGATTTTGTTGGGATTTTCTTTGACGCAATCGAAAACGGCCGCTTGGTCGGAATTTAAATTTTTACGCACGTACAGCTGTCGTTGATGTTTTATCTCTTCCAGGTCATCTTCCGGAGTGGTTTTCGATGATCTGTATTGATATTGTATGTTCTTGGTGAAAGGTATTTAGTAGCGAATACCGGTGAAACTGTCCAACACTGTTGTTGTATGGCTGGAAGACGGCGTAGTGGTGTCCAACATTGGCGGCACATCATCAATCGTTAACTTGTCAATAGTTTCCTCGCATATATCACCAATGTTTACGGTTGCAGGAGCTAAGAAATCCATTATTAACACTTTATAGTTTAGAAAAAAATTATTAAACAATGTTCACTGAGCACAACAAATATTCACTGTGGCACCAATGGTGCAGTAATAATAAACAGTATTAATACTAATGGTTTCAGAAATAATTAATCACGTAGTTGTATAAACGTAGGTATCGTCTATACACAAGCCATTAAAGAACTTATGACAGCTACTGTCAGGTTTGCGCTTATGACGCTTATGTAGGATGAGGCCCTTCGAGTGTCAATGGCGTCAACCGACCGGGTAGTCGTATCCCCTCCAAACATCCAAATGCCGCCGAGTGCCGACGACGACCGACCTAAGTGGACAAGACAAATTAATATGTAATCGGCTGCCGTGAAAGTTGCGAGCCACCAATCGAGAATTTGGTGGGGGTTAATACCAACCAATCTATTATAGTATAGATTACTAAAAAAATGCAATATCACGTACTCCGTACTCGCAATACGATCGTCGATCACTACGTTGAAAAAAATATTTGCATGTACGTCATAGATAAAAGATATACGTACAGCTGAAACGTCGAGTTATATCGACAATTTACATTTCAGTGTTACTTTTTACAATAGAATTATATACGGGAAGGCCAATTTTTAAGTAGAAAAAAATTACGATGTTATCGCAGCTGCATGACGCATCATCACTGGAAAAGTTGTCGAAAATAACATTTAAAAAAAAATAGAAAATACAAACATAGTACTTATGTAATATAACTAACAACTACACATCAACGTTGAACTTCGTACAATGTAGCATGCTAAGTCGATTTACGATTACCCTGTCGAAATTTAGTTTGTACGGAAATAGGTACACTTTTAAACACTTATTTTTTTTTTAATTGATAACAAATGTCTCGGCGAATAAGTATAATTTATAACTATACCAAAAAAAAAAACTAAAAAACCTAAAACAAAAAACTTTANTCCACCATACTTAATCGGAACACGCGCATTATGAACTGTGCGACAGTGTAACCGTTGGCCGAAAATCTATACATGTGCACAAGATCGCGTTTGTATATAACGACATTTGGAGGTATCGACGTATCGAACATATGATTGGCTAACGTCAGCATGGTGAACGTTTTTCCAGTGCCCGGATCGCCTTGTACAACTATGATTTTGTTGGGATTTTCTTTGACGCAATCGAAAACGGCCGCTTGGTCGGAATTTAAATTTTTACGCACGTACAGCTGTCGTTGATGTTTTATCTCTTCCAGGTCATCTTCCGGAGTGGTTTTCGATGATCTGTATTGATATTGTATGTTCTTGGTGAAAGGTATTTTGTAGCGAATACCGGTGAAACTGTCCAACACTGTTGTTGTATGGCTGGAAGACGGCGTAGTGGTGTCCAACATTGGCGGCACATCATCAATCGTTAACTTGTCAATAGTTTCCTCGCATATATCACCAATGTTTACGGTTGCAGGAGCTAAGAAATCCATTATTAACACTTTATAGTTTAGAAAAAAATTATTAAACAATGTTCACTGAGCACAACAAATATTCACTGTGGCACCAATGGTGCAGTAATAATAAACAGTATTAATACTAATGGTTTCAGAAATAATTAATCACGTAGTTGTATAAACGTAGGTATCGTCTATACACAAGCCATTAAAGAACGTGTGACAGCTACTGTCAGGTTTGCGCTTATGACGCTTATGTAGGATGAGGCCCTTCGAGTGTCAATGGCGTCAACCGACCGGGTAGTCGTATCCCCTCCAAACATCCAAATGCCGCCGAGTGCCGACGACGACCGACCTAAGTGGACAAGACAAATTAATATGTAATCGGCTGCCGTGAAAGTTGCGAGCCACCAATCGAGAATTTGGTGGGGGTTAATACCAACCAATCTATTATAGTATAGATTACTAAAAAAATGCAATATCACGTACTCCGTACTCGCAATACGATCGTCGATCACTACGTTGAAAAAAATATTTGCATGTACGTCATAGATAAAAGATATACGTACAGCTGAAACGTCGAGTTATATCGACAATTTACATTTCAGTGTTACTTTTTACAATAGAATTATATACGGGAAGGCCAATTTTTAAGTAGAAAAAAATTACGATGTTATCGCAGCTGCATGACGCATCATCACTGGAAAAGTTGTCGAAAATAACATTTAAAAAAAAATAGAAAATACAAACATAGTACTTATGTAATATAACTAACAACTACACATCAACGTTGAACTTCGTACAATGTAGCATGCTAAGTCGATTTACGATTACCCTGTCGAAATTTAGTTTGTACGGAAATAGGTACACTTTTAAACACTTATTTTTTTTTTAATTGATAACAAATGTCTCGGCGAATAAGTATAATTTATAACTATACCAAAAAAAAAAACTAAAAAACCTAAAACAAAAAACTTTATTTAAAAATCATAATATTATGATTTTAATTCTTCAAGAAATTATATTAGGTATAGTGTTGTTGCGCCGCGACCGCTCCTACAAGGGCGGCGGTTGTCGGCCGCGACTTTCGGGGTGTTGGAAGGTAAGGTTACTCATAATGTGAAATGTTTATACAATACAATAATTATAATACAATTAACGGACTTACGGACGCCGGGCGCCAGACATAATATATTAATCGCAAAACAGCGTATAGATATAACGATGGCAATAATAATAATAATGAGCGGGCCCGTAATCCGTATTACTCTTAATTATAAATCAAAACTTATTCGTCCGAATACATACAATATAAAATATATAATAATAATAAATGAGAACAAAAAAAGGTATGACCTGTACTGCTGTAGTGCTGTCTGCTACTCGGCATAACCACGCTGTAGTCTGGGCTGGTAAGGCGACAGCCTTTTGACGGGTGGCACGACTGGCACGTATGTAATTTTAATGGCAATGTCACAGTAAATTGATTATAATAATAAGATACTTCAAAATTCTCAAAAAAAATTTCTGCTTAATAATTAAAAATGAAAAAGGGAGGTTCCTATTTGAAAAACCTAAGTTTGTATTGTCACAGGATCATCCTTAAGTGGTGTAAAAAATTTGAATGATTCGAAAAATGGTCATAGTGTATTTAAAAATGCCAAAAATCTGAATTTTTATATGTATATATTAATGGATCATAAATTTCACCAACGTAAAATCTCATAGCTCTAATAGCATCAACTCTATTGAACCACCGTGTTTGACTTAACGGGTTTACAGTGAAGTTATTAATGTGTTAATAAATTAATAAATTTCAGTTTTTTGATAAATAAAATATTAGGAAATTTACTATTAAGACGCATAGTAATTTTTATCAGTAAGCATATACATATAAGTTATAAAAAAAAACCGGGAGTAGGTTATGCTCTGGCACGAAATTGTGAATTCGGACGTTCGGGAATGGTTTTAGTTCGTTCGTGGTTCAAAGATTCGGATATCAGTAGATAATATATTATTCGTTCATGTGGTTTATTGTTCAAATGAAAGGAATTAACGAAATGAACAAATCATATGAACGGGTTATTTGAATGACCCGATCCAAACGAACCAAATCGTTTAAAAGACTCGTTTTGCCCATCACTACTGTTGTAATAAGCTTTTAATTGTTAGTACTTAAAAATTAGGTTAAGTAAACAATTATACCATGACTCGATTATCACTGGACGTCGTAAGTAAATAAAAAGTATTACAATATTTTTGATGGTTGATTTATTGTGTACGTTCGAGTTATCAGCGTATACGACACTACTGTGAAAGCATGAGGGCAGTAGTTTGCTAGCCAACAGTAATACTCAACATGATATTTATTAGGCTATTTTACATATTTTACAAAATTGAAAAGTAATTATGCTAAAAGTTTTTATTTTTTTAACATGATTAAACTACATGATTCATTAAAAAAATAAAAATATATTTAAAACAATAAATAATATAAAATTAGAATACATTTTTTTTTTTGTACTATATGTGATTTACTTGTGATATTAAATATTTAAATTGGTAGCATTTTTGGTTCAATTAGAATTTCATTGACAGCACAAAATGATGGTTGTGTAACTGCAAATAAAACAGCTTCTGCGATATTTGATGGCTCAAGAATTTCATTATTAGAGCTGCAGTCATATCGCTTTAGAGCCTAAAATTAAAATTTTTTTATAACATCAGTATTGTATCAAATTCAGGAAACTATTTTTACCTCAAAATCACTAGTCCTATGTAATAATTCAGTTTTTACATCGCCAGGTTGAATGCAGGTGACTTTTATGTTATACTCAATCATCTCAGTTCTTAGTGCACTAGCTATGCCCTCCATGAAAAATTTTGTTCCTGAGTATACCCCTAAACCTGGAAATGACTTAAACATTTTATTGTCATTAATTTTTTTGTTTACACATAGAACTACCTTTACAAGTTCTCAGTTCACTACTTACTCTTCGGCCAGCATTTGACGTTATGTTTACAATGTGGCCAGAATTTCTTAATGTCATGGTAGGAAGAACAGCTCCAAGACAATTTAACATACCATTACAATTCACTTGCACCATTTCATCCCATTCGTCTATTTTACATTTATCAAATGTTGTATAAAACATTACTCCTGCATTTATTATCATTATATCAATTGGACCAATTGATTCTTCGATATTTTTAACCACTGTTTTCACCTATATAATATAATACAGAACAGCTATAACATCAGTTTATAAAGCAATATATAAGCCAAATAATTAAATTTACATTGATTGGATCAGTAACATCCATTTCATATGGAAAAACTGTGCTTTTGCTGGTCACACCAAGTGAAAAGATCTTATTTTTTAATTCCATCAGACGGTTGATTCGTCTTCCAGTTGGAATCACTATAGCTCCAGCTAATGCTAGGCTTTTAGTAATTTCATAACCGATTCCTGAAGAAGCTCCAGTAATAAGTACAACTCTTGACTTTAGAGATAATAACTGTGTTGGTAATGATTCCTCTGAAGCTAAAAAAAAAAGTTTAAATAATTTGTATTTATTTATACATAGGGCCATATTATAAAAGTTAAGTTCAACATATAAATGTTTAGTCACTCAAATATGAATCAATTAAATTTAATAGCTTGATGAGGAGCAGTCGTACACTTAATCTGCGGCAACACATAAATTCAAAATAAAAATAGTAGTTACCCCACCCCCGGGGCATGGCAGAAACCTACGGGTGCCCCATTCGAAATTCTGCCAAAAACAAACACACACGTGTTCCCCCCTACCGTCCCAAAAAATATACAATACAAACCTACAATACAAATTCTACTACAGCTAATGGCCTCAGTTGCCGAAGCTTAAGATTAATAAAAAAAAAAAAAAAAAAATAGTAGTAGTGTTATCTAAATGAAACATTTTTATTTTACTTCACTATTAAATATATTTTACATAACAAATGTATAATGTAAATAGAAACTATTGATGTTTTTTTTGATCCAGATAAAATATTTAAAATATTTGTTTTTATAAAACTACCTTCTGTTGTTAATATTATAAATTTAAATTACCTTTGTCTATGGCCATTTGGGGAATCAAATTCAAATTGGCTAATGTTTTCAATATTCTATGACATTCATTTCTGTCTAAATTTGGATACATTAAATTGGCAGAAGCTAAATACGTTTCGACATTTGTTTTTTTCACCGTTGATTGATTCTCTAAATAATTATTATTTTCTACAGTAGAATTTAATAGATAAGTAAGTGAAGCTAATTGAGGATAAAGAATTGAATTTTTTTCAATTATTTCTGACCATTTTTTGTAAGATACACATTCTAAATTGTATCCAACATCTTTCATTACTTTCCATAAATGTCTGCAAAAATAATAATATATCATTATCTAGATAAATACCGTTTCAAAACATAATAGGTACCTACTCTGAATTCAATGTGTCATTAACTAAATGGTAGATTTTTCCTGATGATTCATTTAAATTCTGTGACAGTTCTACAATAGTATTTGCAACAAAATCAACAGGTGTTAATTCAATCTGTAAATAATTTTGCATATTATTTGTTTGTCTTATAATTTATCCTCTTAAATTAT